CACGAGTGAGCCACGCATCAGCCTTTGCTCAGCCTCCTCCAGACGCAGTTTAATGTTCTGGAGCTCTGACAGGTAGGACCGAGACACAGACTCATCCTTCTCCACTAGAGAGAGACAAATACACAGACAGAGAGACAGAGAGAGAGAGAGAGAGAGAGAGAGGGGTGGTGGTGGAAAGAGGGTGAGAGTAGATGAAAAGAGAGAGGAGGGGGTGGAGAATGGGGGAGAGTAAATGGAGACAGAGGGGAGCGGGAGTGGGGAGATAAGACAAGAGAGATAATTTAATTTCAATCCCACTTAATTGGGTCAATGCACCATGACAAAACCCATTCATTAGAATCCCCAATGTTGCCCTCATGCCCCAAATGTGGATGAAGCCAAGACTCGAGTAAGTGAGGGGATGCACTCTGTCAAATCTACCTGTCCCCATGCAAAACAGACACACATTTGTCGTCTTTTCAGTGAACTATTTAATTTCACTATCAATAATTTGGATGAATCTCAATACTACCAAGCAAGTAAAGGTAAGTAAGTATGTGAGCAAAGTAAGCCAAACCCCCCACTGCCACCCAATTCTCCACCCTTTCCCCTGAAATGTGCACTACCCCTTGTGCATTTAAAACCAAAGGATTTGTGTACGCATGGCCTCCAATACCAATCCTCTGCTTTAAATCCAAGTACGGGAGTGAACAAGTGCACACTTCAGGGAAAAGGGTGGAGAATTGGGACTGAGACACCGTATCTGTCCATCTACCTGTCTCCATGTTGACCAGCAGGTCCTGGCAATGCTCCTGGGCGGTGTGGGCGTCTCGCTCCAGCTCGCGTCTCTCAGTGGGGGTGAAGAGGGCGCTCTCTTTGCTGTCAGAGAGGAAGTCAGCCAGGTGGGCCTCCAAGTGGTCCAGAGCCTGGTCCCTCTCCACAGGGGGCTGGGAACGCACCTGAGGGGTTAGGGAGAGAGAGGTGTATGTCAGCTAAATTTAAGAGTAGTGATTGATTTTATATGCCAGTCAAAAAAGCATGTATACACACAGTATATAGATTTTTAAAAACGTGACAGGGATAGCACAATAAAGTCTGATACTTATTTCCATTGTGGTCCCTAAAGTGCATGGTGCGAAAATTTGGATGTTGATATGTGTATTAATTAACATGCATTAAGACGTTATTCATAGGTAATAAGCCATGAAGTTGATATGAACACATTAGCAGATGGAGTAGAAAGAGGAGGATATACAGTATGACAACAGAGGGACATTACACCATAAAGATATCAGCTTGAGAGAGAGAGAGAGAAATATGAAAGAGAGAAAGAAAGAGAAAGATTGAAATAGAGGGTGAGAAAGGGAGAGAAAGATATGCTTGGATGAAACTATACTGAACCAAAATATAAACACAACATGAAAGAACTTCATTGATTTTAATGAGTTATAGTTCATATGAGGAAATCAGTCAATTGAAATAAATTCATTAGGCCCTAATCTATGGATTTCACATGACTGGAAATACAGATATGCAGCTGTTGGTCACAGATCCCTTAAAAAAATGGGCCTCATAATGGGCCTCAGGATCTCGTCATGGTATTTTTGTGCAATTGTGTTCGTTGTCTGTAGCTTATGCCTGCCCATACCATAACCCCACCGCCACCATGGGGCACTCTCTTCACAACATTGACTTCAGCAAACCGCTCGCCCACACAACGCCATACACGTGGTCTGTGGTTGTGAGGCCGGTTGGACGTACTGCCAAATTGTCTAAAACAGCATTGGAGGCGGCTTATGGTAGAGAAATGAACATTCCATTTTCTGCTCCCTCCAAACTTGAGACATCTGTGGCATTGTGTTGTGTGACAAAACTGCACATTTTAGAATGGCCTTTTATTGTCCCCAGCACAAGGTGCAACTGTGTAATGATGCTGTTTAAATAGATTATTGATATGCCACACCTGTCAGGTGGATGGATTATCTTGGCAAAGGAGAAATGCTCACTAACAGGGATGTAAACAAATTTGTGTACAACATTTTAGAGAAATACGCTTTTTGTGCATATGGACAATTCCTGGGATCTTTTATTTCAGCTCATGAAACATGGGACCAACACTTTACATGTTGCGTTTATATTTTTGTTCAGTGTATAAGAAATAGAACAGTTATGTGAGATAAATGTGGTTGAAGACAGACAGAGAAAGAGAGCAAGAGAGAGAGAGGGCGAGAGAGAGAGCAAGAGAGAGGGCGAGAGAGAGAGAAAGTGTGAGATAAATATGGTTGAAGACAGACAGAGAGAGAGAGCAAGAGAGAGAGAGCAAAAGAGAGAGCAAGAGAGAGAGAGAGCAAGAGTCTCCCGAGTGGCGCAGTGGTCTAAGGCACTGCATCGCAGTGTTAACTGTGCCACCAGAGATCCTGGTTCGAATCCAGGCTCTGTCGCAGCCGGCCGCGACCGGGAGACCCATGGGGCGGCGCACAATTGGCCCAGCGTCGTCCAGGGTAGGGGAGGGAATGGCCGGCAGGGATGTAGCTCAGTTGATAGAGCATGGCGTTTGCAACGCCAGGGTTGTGGGTTTGATTCCCACGGGGGGCCAGTATAAAAAAAAAAAAAAAAAAAAAAAAAAGATCTATTCGCTAACTGTAAGTCGCTCTGGATAAGAGCGTCTGCTAAATGACTAAAATGTAAATGTAAATGTAAGAGAGAGAAAGTGTGAGATAAATGTGGTTGAAGACAGACAGAGAGCAATCCGATATTTCTGTCAACAATAGAGATGTACTGCGACTTGGACGTTGACACATTGAGTTAAAACATTATGTCTAACCGTGTCTAGGCTCCAGGAGGAGATGGTCCTGATGTCTTTCTGCAGGTAGTGCCAGCAGACCACACTCTTCATGTTGACGTGTAGCTGGTGCCATAGAGACATCACGTTCTGGTACATCTGCTCCATCCTAGAACACATGGAATAACACTTTCAATATACAGCAGGGTTAGGTATGAGTGTGTGTCTGCCAGCGTGCATGTGTGTATATGAACATGTGAATGTGTGTGTCTATGCATGTGAGCTGTAAGTGCGTATGTACTATATGTGTGTACCTGCTGGCGGTGTCCATGGCCTCCTGGTTGGGCGGTGGCACGGTGAAGCAGACTGACGGCACCATAGCCTCGTTCCCACTGGGGCTGATCACCTTCCATTTTGTCCTCTGAGAGTTGTCCTCCAACACACACTCCTCACCTCGGCTGATGGTGATCTACGT